AGCAACCAAATTCTCCCCCCCCCCCCCCCCCCCAAGAAATTGCACATATCTCAAAATAAATAAATTAATGTGAATTTCAGATCTTATTATCCAAGTTTGTAATGATTCTGCCTGTGGGTGGGACACAAAAGAAGGGAGGGGGTGAGGGAGGGCTGTGTTAACCAGTGATAATTTCTCCAGTCTTCGCTATCTGTGAGAGCAGAGGAGGCTTAGGGGGGCGGAGGGGGCTCAATTTTGCGCGTTTGATCGTGTTGATTGATGTGGCGCCACTTGTTGCAGCCCTTGCTGAGTCATGGTGGCGCGACCCATCAGATATGCCAGTCGAGGGGGGCCTGAAAGAGGCTGAGTCATGTTTTGCGTGACGATATCTGCCCGCCAACTCGGAACCTCCTCAGCTCTTTGCTGGCCATTTGTTTCCACCTCGATGACTTTTTTTTTTTGTTTTGTTTTTTTAACAACCATTTTAGCTGTCTTAATTACTGTTGTAGATATAGACATGCTTTTTTTTCATGGCTAATACCAGTTAGTAGTCAAGGTGGCAGAAAACCGATATTTGGAGCAGATAGTCATTTTCACTCAAAGGGAAAGTATTGGTATCACAATCTTTAAAAAAAAACAAAAAAAAAACTCAAACTCTTAACTTTGTTGAAATGTCTTTTTCTAAATGGCTGAAAATCTAGATATGACCGAGAAATGTTGATACAATTGTAAAAGTCTAATTTTTTTGTTTTGAACTTTTTCTCCTTTCTTGTAAAAACAATCAAAATAACAACTTAGAGATTTTTATTTTTTATTTTTTGGAGCACAAGGTATTTTACTGAACATTTACACATTCCTTCCCATTTTTATTTCACATGTGCAGCAGTTTTGCGTGACGATATCTGCCCGGCAACTCGGAAGTTTTATTTTTTTATTGTTTAGCTTGAACTAGATACTAACGCCGGTGAACTGCTAGAAGTATTGTTATGGTTATTTTACATAAACATTGGTCATTTTAGCTTGTGAAACCAGTATGAAAGAAATAGTGCAAGGACGATAATGCGCACATGATAACTATATACAAAAATATTCGAAAAATGAAATACAAAACTATTAGCGGGAAAAATGCAAACATGTTACATAACAATTGCACAAATATAAAGAAAAAAACAGATTAAAAACAAATATGACAAACTAAAATAAATAGAAAAAATATGAGACAAATATAAAAATATCAGATGAAATTTCAAAATATATCCAAGTGTTTGAAAATACAAAAATATTCCGACAACATGCATAAACATAAAAAAAAAAAAATCATACCAAACCATTCGCAAAATAAAATTGTAAAAAATATTCAACATTAAAAATATTCTAATATTAGATTGCAAACGCATGAATATTAGTGAACAAGCCATGTGTAAGGTGGCCTGGGTGTTGTCGTGTAACTGTTTATTCTGTTTTGCCAGGCCAACGCTGACCCCTCGGTCATCAGCTGCATGCAAAACTTGTCCCGCCGCATCGCCATTGCGCTGCAGCATGAGGAGCGCCGCTGCCAGTACCTCACCAGGGAGGCCAAGCTCATGCTGGCCGTGCAGGACGAGATCACCACCGTTACCGAAAGTGAGGAAAATAAATACATCAAATCATAATCATTTGCTGTGTCACTCTTGCTCTTTTTGTTCTTAGTGAGCCCACAGTCACCGTTTCGACAAATTCTGCCCAAATGTAAGCTGGCCAAGGACCTAAAGGAGGCGTATGACAGGTTTGTGCATAGACACGGCACCATTTATTGCTTCCCATAAATTTTTTCTAACAGTGTGTTGCTTCAGTCTGTGCACGACGGGCGTGGTGCGGCTGCACATCAACAATTGGCTGGAGGTGAGCTTCTGCCTCCCGCACAAGATCCACCGCATTGGCGGCAACTATATCCCCCCCGAGGCCTTGGAACGTAGCCTGAAGGCCATCAGGTGCGACCGATTTTTTATTGTGCACCATTCGGTCCTCCCGTGTCACGCAGTATGAAGAGTTGAGACACTTCATGTCACCCTCGTAGAGAGCAACGTGATTACGGTGACTTCACGATTGTCATGATATTGTTTGTGTAATAGAAGAAATAAAAGGGCAATAATACAGGGGGCAAAATAAAAGTTTAGTAAAAAAAGAAATAAAGCAAGACTCAAAAAGAAATATAATGGGATATCAATTAAAAATAAGAGGAAAAGGGCAAGAATATTTGAACAAAGATAGTAAAATAATATTTTAAAAAGTATTTTACTACAGATGCACAAATTCAGTGTTTCTTAAATATCGTCACTCCAACCTTAAAAAATGGCCTAAGTCATATTTTGATCCCCCCCAAAAAATAATAGTAATTGCCTTAAACGACTCAGGATTCTGGCCAAAGTCGGCTACATCCTTAGCTAAACAACTAATTTAATTCTACATCTTAAATGAAATTATTCATATTTAATGTAGTCGGTATTTGGTTCAGCTTTTCATGCTTGTGTGTGCTTAGTGGCCTCTTTAGGTTCTGCGTGTGGCTTTAATAGCTAATGTGTGCGCTTCACTGATAGCAAGTGGAGTCATCTGAGGACAAGATTTGTTGACTGCCTTCTACTGCCCCCTGTTGTTAGTCTGAATCATTACCTCTGTCAAGACGTGCGTTTTATTTTGGCGTTTCTGTTTTTTGTTTTTTTTTCATTGGCTGTTTGCACAGCCTGAGAATGCGATTTTTCCAGACCTTAATTACCTTGACGGGCGCTGTCGTCCAGGCCCTATCACGCACTGCTGCTGCTGGAAAGCGAGAAGGCGCTGCTGGGCCAACTTCCCGTGGACTGCTCGCCCGCCATGATGCGCCTCATCAAGACGTGCTCGGCGGTGAAGAACCTGCAGCAGCTGGCTCAGGACACTGACCTAGCCCTGCTTCAGGTGAGGCTGCTGCTTCACACGTCTTCCTGTCAGGAAATGCGGTCATAGTCCTAATTTTCATATTTCTTATGTTTGATTTGAATCGATCACAAATGGGGAGGGAAAAAATGAGAAAACAGAAACTCGGAGAGTGCAGATCTCCGCCAAGGCTTGAAAAAGTGCCTTTCATTTAAATTGCTGTCAGATGCGCCATCCCAAATGTGATCCAGAAGAAACTGGGTTTGACGCCAAATGTCCACAGGACGGAATTTACACTCCCCTCCAAAAATATTGAAACAGAGGCCAGCTGCTTCTTTTTTTCGGGGGGGGGTTGGTCATGAAAATGTGAATATGGGTTTTTATTTAGATCTCATGTTCACACCATAGAAGAGTGGCACCTTTTTTTCATGTGAGCAAAGGCAGTGGAACATCACGGCCAGCTATGTGCTATGACTGGTGATATAAAAACAATGATTAGCAATTTTAGATTTGAGTTTTGCCCGTGAAGGCTACACTCAGTTGCTGATAGGGGGAAAAAAAACATTTGGGAAGCTGAGCAAAGTCGAATTTGTATGGTGCTGACTGTGATTTCATGATGAGTCAAAGTGAACAGATTATATTGGTACCTCGGGTAGGAAAGGCCAATTTTATCTCTTTTTTTGTCTTTATTTGCGAAAAAAGGGTTGGTTTTTTTTGTGTGTGTGGGCTTGGGCCTCAAGCTGTCTATTGCCATTTTTTTTCATGTGAGCAAAGGTACTGGAACATGATGGCCAGCTATGTGCTATGACTGGTGATATAAAAAAAATGATTAGCAATTTTAGATTTGAGTTTTGCCCGTGAAGGCTACACTCAGTCACTGAGGGGAAAAAAAAAACATTTGGGAAGCTGAGCAAAGTCGAATTTGTATGGTGCTGACTGTGATTTCATGATGAGTCAAAGTGAACAGATTATATTGGTACCTCGGGTAGGCAAGGCCAATTTTATCTTTTTTTGTCTTTATTTGCGAAAAAAAGGTTTTTTTTTTTTTGTGTGTGTGGGCTTGGGCCTCAAGCTGTCTATTGCCATTCCCAGGTGATATGTAAACATAAGACAAAGCAAATGCCTTAGCAAAGTGTACAAAACGCCATGGAGGGGCTAATAAAACTACCATCAGTGCTGCAGTCGATATAGCCCTCTCAGCAACAGATATTCAAACAGAAACGGAACACAAGTAGACATAATTTATAAAAATCACGGGCAAATATTCTTTAGCCTCTGAAAAATGACTATGACTGCAGCTTACTTTTATCACTTAGTTGTGAAACTCTTTTGTAGCCTTTATTATGCTGCCCCCTGGTGGCAGAGGAACGCACACCGGAATAGCGAACGGGTGCATTTTTAAACTTGGTTTCATGTAAATTCATTACTGGGTAAACATCCAGGAATCGTTTTTTTTTTTTTTCCGGAAACAAGATAACATGTTGCTTTACTCTCAGATCTGCCAAATTGCAGCCCACCTGGTTTACTGGGGCAAGGCCATCATCATCTACCCACTGTGTGAGAACAACGTCTACATGCTGTCCCCTCACGCCAACATCTATCTGTGAGTCTCTCGTCGCCGCACATGCGCCCACTGTGTATGATGGCCATCCAGTGTCAAGAGTGCTCCAATAAAATGTAACCTCCATTCACTTCATCTCTCTCCACTCACTGGACAGATTCTCGCCTCAGGCCGAACAGTTTGCGCAGCAGTTTCCCGGCCACGACCTTCCTTCCACGTTGGCGAAGTTTTCGCTGCCTGTCTCGCTGGCCGAGTTCAGGAACCCCCTGGAAGCTCCCGCGCAGGAGGTGCGTCTGACACCGTCACAAATATGTGAAAAAAAAACAAAAATATTAGCAAAACAAATCCAACAGTTTCAGACACAAAAATCATATCAAAAAACAAAATAATCACAAAAATAACACACAAAAAAAAATTGCTAGTCGCCAAATTTATGAATATAGGATTATAGATACCAATTACACAAATATAATTACACAAATTAGAAAATAATCCAAATGTATGCGATAACAAAGATAAAATGTTAGATGTTCTTGCTCCCAGTCAGCTGTGATTGCTCCTACCGACCTAGCAAAAGAACGTATGGCTGAATACGAGTTGAGTAGGTGAGATGACGTGTGCGCGTGCCCACGCAGGCTCAGCTGATCCAGATGGTGGTGTGGATGCTGCAGCGCCGCCTGCTCATCCAGCTGCACACGTTCGTGTGCCTCATGGTGCCGCCAGCCGAGGACGAGCCCGCTTACAGGGATGACGCCCTGC